ATGCGTGGTGCGCACACGCGAGCACACACACGTGTAGCAAAGGATCACCACATGAAAGGTAACTTTTATCCAAACATTTGTGGAGCCCAAGTGGCCATGGTGAGGTCAGGCGCATGTCAAGAGTAGAGCTGGGCACCGCTGCGTTTCCAAAGGCAGTCTTTGGAAAATTCCTCGGCCTTTCTTCTGAGGCACCTCTGGGTGGACCTCAACCTCCCAGCTTTTGGTTAGCCTGCTTTTTGTGTCCCACTGGGGTTCCTTTGTGGAACGGACCAGACAGGCTAGCTTCCTAGCGTTGGGGGAAGGGAGAGCTGCTCAAGGAGCCGGTCCTGGGACATTTGCAGAGCAGGGAGCCTAAGAGGCACCACACGCAGTAGAATTCATGGTCCCAGGGCAACAAAGGTGGCACTAAGCACCTGGCAAGGAGGCCCTTTCTGCTCTCATGCCAGAGTGTGCACCGTCGCTTCCAGGAAACAAATGCTGGGCATCTGCGTAGGGGCATGTGCTATGTTTGGGCCCCGGCCCTTTCTGCTGGTAAAAGGTGTGCCAGGAGGCAGGAAGGGTGGCTCACCATAGCAGTGGAGAACCTCTTGTCCTTTGCCAATCCGCTGTGATGCCCGGAGGGTGGCGACTGTGCCAAAGAAGGAGATGCTGGTGTTGGGGCAGCAGGAGTGGTTGAGGAGGCTGACAGCAGGGAAGAGGGCCGTGGCCAGGCGGACCTGCCTGCTTTCGGTAATGTTGCTGTCGTTAGATCCTGAAAGAGCGATAGGAAAAGGGAAAATGAGTCAGGACGTGGGTTCTGGCCCCCTGTCCATTCCTCAGATGTGCCAAGAGACTGGGCCTGCAGCCCATCTGACTCACAGCCACACAGCCGGAATCAATATAAATCAGATGGAACGTGACTCACAGCAAACTCTGGGCCCCAGGAAGCAACGTGGTTGATCAGACCAAAAGTCCCCCCGGATCCTGGCACCTAACCCTTGTCTCTCAGCTCCAAAGATTAGCACTTACACAAAATAATAAAAAGGGAATCATCAGTAGGATGCGTTCCGGCCAGTTTCCTGTCAGGAGGACATGGAACCCCAAAGGCCTGTTGAGATGACTTCCCCAAACTTTGAAAGTCCAAGTCCTTCTGTTTAACTGGCCGTTAAAACACAACAACAATGTGCTTTATGCTGCTGCTTCTGCCCAGTGTCCCATCTTTCTGGGCTGCCAATCAGCAGTCTGTCCCACCGAAAAGAGCTCTCGTGTCCCAAACAGTCACTGTTTTGAAACACAGTTATCTGGCAACTGAACTACAGGACTGAACGAGAGGAAGGCATCGGAATGCCCCTAAGGGTGAGGCTGTTTCCGCACCAGCGCTCACTTGCGGGCAGGCCCAGCAGCCCAGAAGCAGAGAGTGAGGAGGGGCGAAAGTGTAGAAAGCAGGTTTCTGACAATGGCAAGAATGGAGAGAGGGGAAGAAAATTTAGAGATGAGCCTGATGGCAAACAAAACACTAGGACTGAGCTTTACCTCAATTGTGGCTCAGTGCTTCACCGCAGGTCCCTTGGCTGACAACACACTGACGTGGGCTTTCCC